TCCTGAATAGCTAGGATTACAGGCGTGTTTCACCACACCCAGCTAAGTTTTGTATTTTTAGTAGAGATGGGTTTTCACCATGTTGGCCAGACTGGTGTTGAACGTCTGACCTCGTGATCCGCCCGTCTCGGCCTCCCAAAGTGCTGGGATTACAGCTGTGGGTTACCAAACGTGGCAGATGAAAGGTTTTTAAAGCAGGGAGTGATGTGAATGTAGCTGGGTTTCACGGGAGCTGACCTACTGTGTGGGGGATCAATAAGAGATACAGAGCAGGCTGGGGCTGAGAGACCAGTGTGGAGGGAGTGGGAGAGGCCCTGTGCCAGGCAAGCAAGAGGTGACTGGAGAGGGCAGTACGGGGATGGAGCTGACCAGGTCGGGGAGGCCCAAGGGGAATGCGAAAAATGTAAGTTTGGAAACGATAGTATCCATGTCAGTTGTCAGGGAGGGTGGTGGTGCTGGAGATGGACTGGGGAACGTGGGAGGAAGCAGGTATGAGCCTGGCCAGGGGAGGGAGGGGCATGGTATAGGTAGGGAAGGGTGTCCTATGCTGGCTGTGGGTGGACATGTGGGTGTAGGCCTGGGCTGGCTCACACAAAGGATTTACAGTGACTTTGCCCAGCCTGTGCTGGTTCTAGCCAAGATGTGGTTGAGGGCTTAGATTCCTGTCATGGGCCACATGGTGATCAATTTTTCTGTATAGGAGCATATATACATATATACACACACGTAAATTTGTATGTTTGGCAAAAGCATCTCACTTTAAATTTATCCTCTTTTTCTCTCCCTTAAATCTACCCTGTTAACCATCTTTACCTTTGTAATTCCATGGTGTTAAGTATTTTCAGATTGTTTTACAAAAGTTCGCTCAAACATTTTCATCTTTGAAATTGGAAACTTGATTGGATATTGTAGTTTATGCCTGTAACCCCAGCACTGTAGGAGGCTGAAGCAGGAGGATTGCTTGAGTCCAGCAGTCGTTAGACCAGCCTGGGCAACATAGCAAGACCCTGTCATTAAAACCAAAACAAAAAATAACCACTAACTTGGCAAGTCATGGCGGCTCAGGTCTGTAAGGTGGCCCAGGTTTGTGATCTCAGCATTTTGGGAGGCCGTGGCAGGAGATTGCTTGAGGCAGTCTAGACCAGCCTGAGTAACATGTAAGATCACAAAAAAACAAACAAAAATTAGCCAGGCATGGTAGTGTGTGTCTGTGGTTCCACCTACTTGGGAGGCTGAGGTGGGAGGAACACTTGAGTCCGTGAGGTTGAGGATGTGGTGGGGTGTGTTTGTACCACCGCACTCCAGCCTGGGTGACAGAGCGTGACCCTGTCTCAAAAAAAAGGAGGAAGGAAAACTGAAACTAATTAAACATGAATTCACTCTGCTCCCACCCTCTAGTCCTTGGCAGGTACCTTTCTACTCTCTGTTTCTGTGATTTTTTTTTTTTTTTTTTTTTTTGAGACAGAGTCTCGCTCTCAAAAAATCTCGGTTCACTGCACCCTCCACCTCCCAGGTTCAGGTGATTGTCTTGCCTTAGCCTCCCGACTAGAGATGAGGGTTCACCACGTTGGCCAGGCTGGTCTGGAATTCCTGACCTCAGGTGATCCACTTGCCTTGGCCTCCCAAAGTGCTGGAATTACAGGCGTGAGCCACTGCTTGACCTGATTTTGACTATTTTAGGTGCTTCGTGAGTGTAGTCATGAGTATTTGCCTTGAGGAGTCTGGCTATTTGACTTATTGTGTCCTCAGCTTTCATCCATGCTGTAGCATGTGTCAGAATTTCGTTGAGTGAGTAATATTTCATTTTATATATGCATCACATTTTCTTTCTTTTTTCTCTTTGAGATGGAGTCTCAATCTTGCTCTGTTGTCCAGGCTGGAGTGCAGTGACATGATCTCGGTTCACTGCAACCTCTGCCTTCCAGGTTCAAGCGATTCTCTTGTCCCAGCCTCCTGAGTAGCTGGAATTATAGGTGTACGCCACCACACTCTGCTTACTTTTGTATTTTTAGTAGAGATGGGGCTTCATCATGTTGGCCAGGCTGGTCTTGAACTCTTGACCTCAAGTGATCTGCCTGCCTCGGCTTCCCATGAGTGCTGGGATTACGGGCCTAAGCCAACGTGCCTGGCTGACGTTTTCTTTATGTATTAATCAGTTTGATTGAGGAAAACTTTATATGCAATTAACTACAGCCATTTATAGTACGATTCAGTGGAACCACTAGCATAGCCGGGCTATAGAATATTTCTGTTGTCCCCAAGACATTCCTTGCCCCCCTTTGCTGTTCAACCCTTTCCACCACTGGTCTCAGATAACCATTTTTTGTCCCTATAGCTTAGTTGACATTTTCTACAATTTCATATGGATGGAATCATATGGTGTGTACCCTTTTATGTCTGACTTCTTTGATACATCATAGTGACTGAGATTCGTGTTATTGTGTGAATTGGCAGTTCCATTTCAGGAATAATTTTTTGAGACGGAGTCGCCTAGTAGGTATTCACTTCATGACGAATGAATGAACGAGGCTGTTCCCTTTAGACTGGGCTCCATCATGGACAGCCCTGAGGTTTTCTGCACTTATGTGTGCTGAGCCCCTGTCTTTCTGGTGTTGGCAGGACGAGCAGCTGAGGGCTCTGGTGAGGCAGTTTGGACAGCAGGACTGGAAGTTCCTGGCCAGCCACTTCCCTGTGAGTACAGTCCCTCTGTGGCCCTCCCTCGGGGCAAGGGCTCTAGGAGAACAGTGTGCCTGGGACACACTTTCTCCCAAGGAGGAGAAAAGGGAATTCCTTGCTAAGCCTCTCAAAACACAACCAAATAAAACAGGGCAAATTGACCTTTGTAGGATCTTTCTTCGCAAACTGGCATTCAGGGCACCCTGATGTAAACATCTCCCGGCTCCTTAGCATGCCTGGTAGTCTTCAGACTCTGAGGCATTTGCAGCATGTGGTGCATATCTGCATTTCTTCCTGTAAGTGAGGAGTGAACAGGTGTTCGGTTTCTCAGCAGTGAGACGGAAACTGAGGGGAAGTGATGTTTTCAGCAGGTTTCATGGTGAGGCCCCTGCAGGGCTGGGAGGTGCTACCACATCTGAGCATTTAGAGTTTCCTGATGATGAGGGGGCCCTCCCTTAGGACCCCTTTCTCAGGTCCTCCTGCCCCTGACCAGGTGTCTGGGAGGGAGGGGTTATGGAAGGAGCTGCCCTGTGGCTTACCGCCTGGGCTGCTCAGGGACTGAGTCACCAGACCCCATCCTGGTCCATTTCCTCACCTCCCCCTCTTCTGTGTAATCTGAACTCTTGAGGGAATAAAAATGTTCTCCTAGAAAAAAACAGGGGTCCCTGACATACAAGGAGTTAAAGACTTGTGATGGTGGCCCCTTGTGTTCAGGTGGTGGAGGGGTGGCTTCCCACAGGGGCCCGATTTTGCCCTCTCTTGTAGCAAAGGGAAACCGTCTGCGTTCTGGGATGTGGGGTTATAGTGTGTGGTGGCCACATGGAACAGACACACCTACCTAAGGTGTGCCTAGTCCCAGGCCATTGGCCCTGAGCCTAGCACTTAACAAGGGTCCCAGCCTGAGGTCCCAGAAGTTCTCATGGATTGGTTTGTTCTTCTGTTCTTTTCCCAGAACCGCACTGACCAGCAATGCCAGTACAGGTGGCTGAGAGTTCTGAATCCAGACCTTGTCAAGGGGCCATGGACCAAAGAGGAAGACCAAAAGGTAACTGCTGTGACAGTGCCTTGCACACAGTGGGCCTTCACCCATCAGTGAATCTGGGGACTGTGAGATTGCCCCTGTGGGGTTGTCATGCTAAGCACTGAGTTGTCTACCAGCAAGTCCGGACACTCCCATGCTGCCCTGGCTCTAGCCCTGAGATTCCAAGTCTCTGAGTGTCTCAGATGACTTGGCTTCTCTTGCTCCAGCCATGGAGGGGAACAGCTGCAGTGCAGCGTTGTCATGAGAGTTAAGCAGGTGATGCTTGTATGGGGCTTGCCAGTCCTGTACGTGGTGAGCTCTCAGCAAATGGCAGCTGCTGCTATCCCTAATTTAATGATGACTGCACCCTGTGACCTTCTTCACAGGGCACAGAGCATCACATGTGCCTTCTTTTGATCCCCATGGCACTCCTGTGAGGTGGGCAGAAGTTGTTGGTCTCATTTTATAGATGGGGAGAGTAAGACTCAGAGAGGCTGGGGATGTCCCCAGGCTAGAAGAAGCAGTAGTATTACCACGACTGCCCTGGGCTGCCTTGGGAGTTCTGCATCTCGTCTCCCTGATGCCAGCCCAGAGGATGTCATTCCACCAAGGCAGGCATGGCTCAAGGGAACGAGCGAGACAAGGGAACTAGGCATTTTTTTTTTTTTTTTTAGAACGGGGTTTACTCCTTTTAACCCAGGCTGGAGTGGAATGGGTGAGCCGAGATCAACCCAATGCACTCCAGCCTGGGTTCAGGCAATTCTCCTGCCTCAGCCTCCTGAGCAGCTGGGACTACAGGCACGCGCCACCATGCCCAGCTAATTTTTTGTAGTTTTAGTAGAGACGGGGTTTCACCATGTTGACCAGGATGGTCTTGATCTCTTGACCTTGTGATCCACCCGCCTCGGCCTCCCAAAGTGCTGGGATTACAGGCTTGAGCCACCGCGCCCGGCCTATTTGATTGATTTTTTGAGGTGGGAGTTTGCGCTGTCACCCGGGCTGGAGTACAGTGGCACAATCACGGCTTATTGGAGCCTCGACCTCCCAGGCTCAAACAGTCCTCCAACCCCCAAGCATTCCTCCCACCTCAGCTTCCAAAGTAGCTCGTACTACATGTGCCACCATGCCTGGTTAATCTTTTTAAAAATTTTTTGTAGAGACAGCATCTCGCTATGCTGCCCAGACTGATTGAACTTCTGGGCTCAGGTGATTCTCCCACATCAGCCTCCCAAAGTGCTGGGATTATAGGTATGAGCCATGATTCCTGGTCTTTTTTTTTTATTTGTAGAGATGGGGTCTCCCTATGTTTCCCAGGCTGGTCTTGAACTGCAGGGTTAATGGTATCCTCTTGTCTTGGCCTCCCAAAGTTCTAGGATTACAGTCATGAGCCGTGGCCAGCACCCCGCCGTTAAATTAACTCAATGTGGTGGTGGGGTGCCTATACTCTGGAGGCTGAGTTGGGAGGATCATTTGAACCCAGGTGTTCAAGGCTGCAGTGAGCCATGGTCACACCACTGCATTCCAGCCTGGGTGACAGAGTAAGACCCTGTCTCTTAATAAAATAAAATAAAATTTAGTTTAGTTTTTTTTTTTTTTTTTTAATCTTTTCCTATCGCTTTGAGCAAAAATAAAAAAGTTTATTTTTTTTTTTTTTTTTTTGAGATGGCGTTTCACTCTGGTTGCCCAGGCTGGAGTGCAATGGCCCTGTCTCAGCTCACTGAAACCTCTGCCTGCTGGGTACAAGCGATTCTCCTGCCTCAGCCTCCTGAGCAGCTGAGATTACAGGTGCACACCACCACGCCTGGCTGATTTTTGTATTTTTAGTAGACAAGGTTTTGCCATTTTGGTCAGGCTGGTCTTGAACTCCTGACCTCAGATGATCCACCCACCTTGACCTCCCAAAGTGCTGGGATTACAGGCATGAGCCGCCATGCCCAGCTTGAGACCTAGTCTCTTTTTTTTTTTTTCCCTGAGATGATTCTTGCTCTGTTGCCAGGCTATAGTGCAGTAGTGTCATCTCAGCTCACAGTAACCTCTATCTCCTTGGTTTAAGTGATTCCCTGTCTTAGCCTCTTGAGTAGCTGGGACTACATGTGTACATCACCATGCCCATCTAATTTTTATGTAGCTTTTAGTAGAGATGGGGTTTCACTATGTTGGCCAGGATAGTCTCGATCTCCTAACCTCATGATCCACCTGCCTCGGTCTCCCAAAGTGCTGGGATTACAGGTGTAACCCACTGTGTCCAGTCTGATGCCCAGGCTGGAGTGCAATGGCAGTAACTGAGCTCACTGCAACCTCTGCCTCCTTGGTTCAAGTGATTCTACCTGAGCCTCCCACGTAACTGGAATTACAGGCTCCCACCATGACTCCTGTAATTTGAATTTTTAGTGGAGATGGGGTTTCACCATGTTGTCCAGGCTGGTCTGGAACTCTTGACCTCAGGTGATCTGCCCCCACCTTTGCCTCCCAAAGTGCTGGGATTACAGGTATGAGCTACCAAGCCCAGCCGAGACCTTGTTTCTTAAAAAAAAAGAAATATTTTGAGACGGAGTTTCGCTCTTGCTACCCAGGCTGGAGTGCAATGGCGCGATCTCGGCTCACCGCAACCTCCGTCTCCTGGGTTCAGGCAATTCTCCTGCCTCAGCCTCCTGAGTCGCTGGGATTACAGGCACGCGCCACCATGCCCAGCTAATTTTTTGTATTTTTAGTAGAGACGGGGTTTCACCATGTTGACCAGGATGGTCTTGATCTCTTGACCTCGTGATCCACCCGCCTCGGCCTCCCAAAGTGCTGGGATTACAGGCTTGAGCCACCGCGCCCGGCCCTGACCTTGTTTCTTAAAAAAAAAAAAAATAAATAAAATAAAATAAAATTTAGTTTGAAAACCCTTTTTTTGGTTGGGTGTGGTGGCTCACACCTGTAATATCAGCACTTTGGGAGGCCAAGGTGGGCAGATAATCTGGGGTTTGGGGTTTGAGAACAGCCTGGTCAACATGGTGAAACCCTGTCCATCTCTATCAAAAAATACAAAAATTAGCTAGGTGTGGTGGTGTGCCTGTAATCCCAGTTTACTTGGGAGGCTGAGGCGGGAGAATTGCTTGAATCTGGGAGGCAGAGGTTGCAGTGAGCTGAGATTGTCCCACTGCACCCCAGCCTGGGCTACAGAGTGAGACCCTGTCTCAAAAAAATAAAAACATAAAATCCCTTAAAAGAAAAATGAAAGTGATATGTGGTTGCTATAAAAATTTAAACCATACAGAAAGGAAGTCAAAATATTTCTTCACCCAAATCTTTGTCAAAGAGGCATCCACTCTTCATTTTGCTGTGGCCTGTGTGCACACGGGAACATGTGTGTCTGTTGTATAGGCCGGGTCTGGCCTGGCTCTTGTGGCTGCCTATGTTGTGCTTTGTGTCCTGAGCTAGGAAGCCTGCCTCAGAGGGCAGGTGGTGACTCAGGTCCAGTAGGTCAGCCTGCAATGCCTGATACCACGGCTTAGCCTGTACCCTCCCAATTTCCATGGAAGTACTGGAGGGTCTTGTGGCTGTGGTGGGAAAGTATTTCCCACCTTTAGTTTGGACTCCGCTGTGGGTTGGTCCTCCTTATCCCTCTGCCTTTTTGTTTTTTTTTGAGATGAAGTCTCGCTCTGTCCCGAGGCTGGAGTGCAGTGGCACAATCAGCTCACTGCAACCTTTGCCTCCTGGGTTCAAGCGATTCTCCTGCCTCAGTTTCCTGAGTAGCTGGAACTACAGGCGCCTGCCACTACCATACCTGGCTAATTTTTGTATTTTTAGTAGAGACGAGGTTTCACCATGTTGGCTAGGCTCATCTCCATCTCTTGACCTTGTGATCTGCCTGCCTTGGCCTCCCAAAGTGCCGGGATTACAGGCGTGAGCCACTGCACCCGGTCTCCTCTGCTCTTTTCTACTTAATTTATTGGATTGAGCCCTGAAGAGGGAAGCAGGACTCTGGTTCCCTTCTTTACCCTACCCCACTTAATCACCAATCTAGGAAGAGTCTCTGGCATTCTTGGCCTGGATTTATTCCAGGCAGTAAATGAGAGGGAAGGTCAGATCCTTAGGTAGCCTCTGTGGGCTACACAAAGGCATCCTGGGTGGCATCCCTGCAACCCGCTCAGTGGCTTCTGTGTTGCCTGAAGGGGTGTGGTAGGTGGCACCTCTGAGGGCCACAGCAAGGCTCAAGTGGATGTGAAGGGCTATGGTGGGGACGAGGGAGGGACCGGTGCCACTGGCTACCCAGAGGCTTTTCTCCAAGGTCATCGAGCTGGTTAAGAAGTATGGCACAAAGCAGTGGACGCTGATTGCCAAGCACCTGAAGGGCCGGCTGGGGAAGCAGTGCCGTGAACGTTGGCACAACCACCTCAACCCTGAGGTGAAGAAGTCTTGCTGGACTGAGGAGGAGGACCGCATCATCTGCGAGGCCCACAAGGTGCTGGGCAACCGCTGGGCAGAGATTGCCAAGATGTTGCCAGGGAGGTGAGCTGTCTTCTTGGGTCTTAGGGCAGGTTCCCAGGAAATCATGTCTGTGTTTCTGATAGAGGAGGTTTCGATGGTGGGTGCTGTGGTCTTGTGCTCTTGTTCTCTAACACCCAGCCTTGACTCCAGGGCATGGTGGCTCATGCCTGTAATCCCATCACTTTGGGAGGCCCAGGTGAGTGGATCACTTGAGGTCCGGTGTTCCAAGACCAGCCTGACTTCTTAAATCACTCTGCCAAAACAGACTCATCTTTTTGAGTTCTTTGTCACTACCTCTGTAAGTGATGTGCCATTTTACATGTTGATCTCCTATAGGAGATGAGCTTTCTTTCCCACTCCCCCGTAACATCTCTATTATTCCAATAATGTATGATAGTTATTATTAAAATAATGTTTATGGAAGGGCATGGAGGCTTACGCCTGTAATCTCAGCACTTGGGGAGGCCGTCTCCCAGGTTCAAGCAATTCTGTCTCAGCCTCCTGAGTACCTGGGTTTACAGGCATGCACTGTCATGCCTGGCTGATTTTTGTATTTTTAGTAGAGATGGGGTTTTACCATGTTGGCCAGGCTGGTCTAGAACCCCTAACCTCAGGTGATCTGCTTCCAAGGGCTGTTCTACGGGAAAGGTCCTAGGTAGAAGTTGTTGGCAACACGCTGGGCGGCTGGGGGACTGGATGTGCTGTAAGTACAGAAGATTTTGCCTGGTGAGCATTGTGTCCCTGAGGGCTTGTAGTGCAGATGATCTGAGGATATCCTCTTAGACTGGGTGCTCAGTCAAGCTATTATTCCCTGTTCACTTTTGAAGGGAGGAGCACTCTGCTTGGCACTCCAAAAAAGCTAGTGCCTACTGTGTGAGCACCTCTGCCCTACTATGGCACTGTATGCTGCTGCATGGCCTTACTGCCACTGCAGCTTACCTCTTCAAGCTTCTCTGATAGCACACCACCCTGCCCTTCTGTACTCCTCTACCCTCTACCGATGCTTGCTGCCTTTTTTTTTTGAGATGGAGTCTCGCTCTGTCACCCAGGCTGGAGTATAATGGCACAATCTCGCCTCACTGCAACCTCTAACTCCTGGGTTCAAGCGATTCTCCTGCCTCAGCCTCCCAAGTTGCTGGGACTACAGGTGTGTGCCACCTTGTCTGGCTAATTTTTGTATTTTTAGTATAGACGGGGGTTCCACCATGTTGGCCAGGCTGGTCTCAAACTCATGACCTCAGGTGATGGGCCCGCCTTGGCCTCCTAAACTGCTGGGATTATAGGTGTGAGCCACTGCGCCTGACCTGCTGCTTGCTTTTTACCACTATACTTCTATACGCTTTCATTGTACCACCCCATCCTTCTTTATTACTCTGTGCCTCTGTTACTATGTGCTTCTCTACTAACCTACTCTCTGCTTTATGCTACTGTTCTGTTAAAGATGTGTCTTCTCCCTGAATCTTCAGTGAGTGTTGGAGCATGACATGGTCTTCTGACTTCCAGATAAAGAAACCGAGGCTCAGGGAGGTGAACAGTAGTGGGCCTTCTGACCTCTCTGGCCACTTACCGATCTGTGGGATGTGAACAGGCCTTGAGTCTGAAGTCAGCGTGAGACTCAGGGTGGGAATGAGCAGGCAGTGTTTGCTTATGGTTTCTACACATACCAAGTGGGCAGGGAGGGGTGAGAGTTCCAGGCACATATCTTCAGTTTTATCATTTTTTTTTAATCTTTAGTTTTTTTTTAATTCTTTGGTTTTTTTAAAGATGGGGTTTCACCATGATGGCCAGGCTGCTCTTGAACTTCTGACCTCAGGTGATCCATCCACCTTGGCCTCCCAAAGTGCTAGGATTACAGGGGTGAGCCACCGCGCCTGGCTCCAATTCTTACTTTTATTCGTTTTTTTTTTTGAGATGGAGTCTCACTCTGTTGCCCAGGCTGGAGTGCAGTGGCATGATTTCGGCTCACTGCAACCTCCACCTCCTGGGTTTCATCGATTCTCATGCCTCAGCCTCCCAAGTAGCTGGGACTACAGGTGCACGTCACCACGCCCAGCACCTCCCAAAGTGCTGGGATTACAGGCATTAGCCACTGTCCTGATTTTACAATTTTATTTATTTATTTATTTTTTTTACCTGAACCTGACAGTAGCTGGTGTTGTTTTGTAATTTTTGTCATAGCCTGAGTGATTCAGTTGCTTATTTTACAGAGCTTCATGGAAACGCTCTGTAAATCATTAGGGCTAGAGACTCATAAGACTTCATCTTGGAGCTGAAAGAGACCTTAGAGTTCATCCAGTGGAAGATTCACTTACAGGAGCAGGAGTGTGGCTTTGGGAGGTTAGTGATGTGTCTGGTGGCACCCCACCCACAGAACTGGGGTTCAGAGGCCCCCTGCTGCCCCCTGCAGGACAGACAATGCTGTGAAGAATCACTGGAACTCTACCATCAAAAGGAAGGTGGACACGGGAGGCTTCCTGAGCGAGTCCAAAGACTGCAAGCCCCCGGTGTATTTGCTGCTGGAGCTTGAGGATAAGGACGGCCTCCAGAGTGCCCAGCCCGCGGAAGGGCAGGTGAGACAGCTGCTCAGCCTCCAACTTGGTTTGATTTCACATTCATCTGACACCGTCTCATTGAATACCTTGTCTACAGCTATTCATCCGTTTCTGCCACAGAGTCTGAAAGTGGGCCATGTGCTTCAGGGGCCTTGTGACACCTTTGCACGTAACTGGCACTTGTCTGCCTGCAGATGAAGGATAGCAGAGAAAGCTGATTATATAAAACTATGAATTAGTTAAGGAGATCCTCAGCCTCCATCTGTCCTTGTTGGTGGCCTCCTTCTTACCTGTTGCTCATTCTCATGCAATTAAAAATAAAATCAGATGTGACCTGTAATCCCAGCACTTTGGGAGGCTGAGGCTGAGGTGGATTGCTTGATCCCTGGAGTTGGAGACCAGTGCAGGCAACATGGTGAAACCCCGTCTCTATCTTTTTAATTTAAAGAAATATAAAAATGTATTGAGTTGTAATTTATATGCTCTAGTGTACAGTTTTGAGTTATGACAAAGCATACAGTCGTGTAACCACTGCCACAATCAAGGTATACCACAGTGCCATCACCCCAGAATTCCCTTGTGCTCCTTTTCTTAGTCTTTTTTCTGCCCTTAGCTCCTTGCACTCTAATCTGTTTTCTGTCTCTATAATTTTGACTTTTCTAGAAATTAACAAATAATACAGTATTACATTTGCACGCCTTTTTTTTGTTTTGTTTTGTTTTGAGACAGAGTCTTCCTCTGCTGACGAAGCTGGAGTGCAGGGGTGTGATCTCGGCTCACTGCAACTTCCACCTCCTGGGTTCAAGTGATTCTGATGCCTCAGCCACCTGAGTAGCTGAGATACAGGTGTGCACCACCATGCCTGGCTAATTTTTGTATTTTTAGTAGAGATGGGGTTTCACCATGTTGGCCAGGCGGGTTTCAAACTCCTAGCCTGAAGAGATCCATCTGTCTTGGCCTCCCAAAGTTCTGGGATTAGAGGTGTAAGCCAGCATGATTGACACTACATTTGCAACATTCATTCATTCATATTTATTTATTTATTGAGATGGAACCTCACTCTCTCGCCCAGGCTGGAGTGCATGACTTGATCTCAGCTCACTGCAACCTCCGCCTCCCAGGTTCAAGTGATTCTCTCTTCTTTTTTTTTGAGACGAAGTTTTACTCTTGTTACCCCAGCTGGGGTGCAATGGTGCGATCTCGGCTCACTGCAACCTCCGCCTCCTGGGTTCAGGCATTCTCCTGCCTCAGCCTCCTGAGTAGCTGGGATTACAGGCACGCGCCACCATGCCCAGCTAATGTTTTGTATTTTTAGTACAGACGGGGTTTCACCATGTTGACCAGAATGGTCTCGATCTCTTGACCTCGTGATCCACCTGCCTCGGCCTCCCAAAGTGCTGGGATTACAGGCTTGAGCCACTGCGCCCGGCAAAGTGATTCTCTTGTCAGCATCCTGAGTAGCTGGGATTACAGGTGTGCATCACCATGCCTGGCTAATTTTTGTATTTTTAGTAAAAACAAGATTTCACCATGTTGGCCAAGCTGGTCTCAAACTCTTGACCTCAAATGATCCACCCATCTTAGCTTCTCAAAGTGCTGAGATTACAGGCGTGAGGCACCGTGTCCCAGCTACATTTGCAGTTTTAAAAATGAAATCAGTATATACTTATTCCCTGTCCTATACACCAGAGCAAAGTGTATATTTCTATTTTTTAACGATCTGTATAAGGTTATTTTTCAAAATAAAAATTAGGGCAGGGCGTGGTGGCTACATCTGTAATCTCAGCACTTTGGGAGGCCAAGGCATGTGGATCTCTTGAGCCCAGGAGTTAAAGACCAGCCTGGGCAACATGGCGAAACCTCATCTCTATAAAAAGTTAAAAAAAAAAAAATTAGCTGTGTGTGATTGTGTGCACCCGTCGTCCCAGCTACTTGGGAGGCTGAGGTGGGAGGATTGCTTGAGCCTGGGAGGTGGAGGTTGCAGTGAGTCAAGATCCTGCCACTACACTTCAGCTTTTATTTATAAATAAAATAACAGCCGGGTGTGGTGGCTCACGCCTGTAATCCAAGCACTTTGGAGGCCAAGGCGGGAGGATTACCTGAGGTCAGGAGTTCAAGACCAGCCTGACCAACACGCTGAAACCCCGTCTTAAAAAAATAAATAAATAAAATAATAATTTGAAGCAAGCATGACAAAACATTAAGATTTGATGATGCTGGATATGTGGTAGGTAATATAATTGTCCTCTATACTGTCTTCTAATCTTTTCTGTAATGGTGTGAACTATTTAATAATTTTTAAAAATCTTTTTTCCCTCTTTTTATTGGCTAGAGGTAACTTGTTGACAGCTACAATTCTTCCACAATGCCCTGCTACAGTAATATATTATGTTTTTGCTCTATGTCTTGATTTTTCAATTTTAGAGACTGTCTCTCGATTTTCCCAATATGAATTCCCCTGTTGGATGACTTTCAGATGGTAGAGAAAGGTATAAAATGAACAGTAAAACGACTTTTTCTAGTTTCAACTCCCTGTGCATCTCTTAACCAGAGGAGTCTTCTTCTGACAGTTTCTTGTACATCTAAGTAGTATGCTTTCGATCTTTTACTTCTGATTGAAGAAAAGATCTCTGTTCCACAAAGAGAAACAGCGAGCATCAGGCAACTCATAGAAGACTTTTGACATAGGACAGAGATAACTGATTGTTAGTCTCTCAAAACTCGACTGTGCCGAAAGCTAGTTATTGACTTGGCTTTTGTCCCCTGACACTTGGAGTGTTTGAAGTGCTGGCTGTGCTGGGCTGGGATCGAGCTTCAGACCATGACCCTGAGGACAGGAGGTCAGTTTTTTTTTTCTTTTTGAGACAGAGTCTCGCTCTTGCCCAGACTGAAGTACTGTGGCGCCATCTCTGCTTGCTACAATCTCCACCTCTCGGGTTCAAGTGATTCTCCTGCCTCAGCCTCCCAAGTAGCTGGGAAGCTGGAATTATAGGCATGTGCTGCCATGCCTGGTGAATTTTTGTATTTTTTTTTTTGAGACGGAGTTTCGCTCTTGTTACCCAGGCTGGAGTGCAATGGCGCGATCTCGGCTCACCGCAACCTCCGCCTCCTGGGTTCAGGCAATTCTCCTGCCTCAGCCTCCTGAGTAGCTGGGATTACAGGCACGCACCACCATGCCCAGCTAATGTTTTGTAGTTTTAGTAGAGATGGGGTTTCACCATGTTGACCAGGATGGTCTCGATCTCTTGACCTCGTGATCCACCCGCCTCGGCCTCCCAAAGTGCTGGGATTACCGGCTTGAGCCACCGCGCCCGGCCCAAATTTTTGTATTTTTAGTAGAGGTGGGTTTTACCATGTTGGCCAGGCTGGTCTTGAACTCCTGACCTCAGGTGATCCACCTGCCTCAGCCTCCCAAAGTGCTGGGATTGCAGGCATGAGCCACCGTGCCCAGACTGTTGCTTTTAGCCTTACCCATTTCTCTCCAGTGTCATCTTTCTGGTGTGCTATTTATTTAACTAGTTTCTTTCTTTCTTTTTCCTTTTTTTTTCTTTTTTTTCTTTTTTTTTTTTTTTTTTTTGACCCCATTTCTGAAAATGTGGTGTAGGGTTGTTTTCTCTGCTCACTGCTACCTCTACCTCCTGGGTTCAAGTGATTATCCTACCTCAGCCTCCTGAGTAACCGGGACTACAGGCATGCACCACCATGCCCGACTAATTTTTTTGTCTTTTTTTTTTTAGTAGAGACGGAGTTTTGCTATGTTGGTCAGGCAGGTCTTGAACTCTTGACTTCGTGATCCCCCTGCCTTGGCTTCCCAAAGTGCTGGGATTACAGCGTGAGCTACCACGCAGCCATATTAAACTAGTTTTTTACTGATGAAGTTAAGGATATTACTGTTTTTTGTTATTAGAGATAAAACTTTAATAGTCATCCTTGTTGCCAAATCACTGCTTCATTGTGCAGTTATGTCTTGAGAAAGTCCTAGAGATGGACATGTATATTTGGTGGTTGGGGGGAACCCTCTTGGCTGAGTGTTGTGGCTTATTCCTGTAACTCCTGCATTTTGGGAGGCCAGTTGGGAGAATTGCTTGAGACCAGGAGTTGTTGACCAGCCTGGGCAACATAGGGAGACTCTAGCTCAACAACAACAACAAAAATGCTGGGTACAGTGGCACACACCTGGAGTTCCAGCTATTTCCGAGCCTGGAGCAGGAAGTCCACTTGAGCCCAGTAGTTCAACAGGGTAAGATTCTGCCTTTAAAAAAGCAAACAAGCCAGGCGTGGTGGCTTACACCTGTTACCTCAGCATTTTGAGAGGCCAAGGTGGGCGTGGTGATACTGACCTGTAATCCCAACTACTCGGGAGGATGAGGCATGAGAATTTAGAAACACTTGAATGGGTGTGGCAGAGGTTACAGTGAGCCAAATTTGCACTACTGCACTCCAGCCTGGGTGACAGCAAGACTCAAAAATTTGAAAAAATGAACAGAAACTTCTTAATACATTTTCTTAGATTACTGCCAGAAGAATTTTGCCTGTTAATTCATATATGGGAACACACCCAACTGCCCCACTCACTGGTCAGTACTTGCCATCATAAAATTGCTTCCTCTGCTTCAGAAGTAATGTGTGATCATTGCTAAAACTAACAACTTCTTAGGATTGGGCAATGCAGAAGGTTGGGCCCACTCAGAAAGAATCAATATATTGTTGAATTTGCCTGCCAACACTTTTTAAGGTTAATAAGCTTGCTTGTGCCGGGCGCGGTGGCTCAAGCCTGTAATCCCAGCACTTTGGGAGGCCAAGGCGGGTGGATCACGAGGTCAAGAGATCGAGACCATCCTGGTCAACATGGTGAAACCCCGTCTCTACTAAAACTACAAAAAATTAGCTGGGCATGGTGGCGCGTGCCTGTAATCCCAGCTACTCAGGAGGCTGAGGCAGGAGAAT